GATACAGACCTGTAATCTTGCTGCGCTGGCTAGACTCAGTATCCACCTTTGCTGAGCCGGTGCTATCCCTCTCAAGGTCGTAAAAAGGTTGCAGCTGCTGGTAATATCTCGTGAAGCCTTGTGCGTCGGTTTGTCGAATGGCGGCAAGGGCTCCTAGTTCCAGAACTTCACGAGCGAGCGGGATGAGGTCAGATGGTGTGGAAGGTGTGGGGATCAGCGCATTCTGAAGGAGGAGGGTTCGCTTTGCTTGGCTGAGGAGGTTGTTGGCAGTATCGAGCTGCTTGCGGTTGAGAGCATTATGGAGCTCTGAAACGAGGGACCGGAGGTCGGCGTTGTGTGCCATGATAGTAACTTCTTCTTGATATTCTCTGTATCAACAGGTGAAGATTCTATTCGAGGTTGTTCAGAGACTGGCGAAAAGAGAAAGAAAGTTTACAGAAGCAGTTTGATGGTATAGAGGGAGGCTGGTTGATGGTGCTGTCAGCTCCCAAGAGCTTCTCCGGCGACAGTATTGTCTTGGCGGGCGGTCAACAACATCACGTGATCTGACGTATCTTTTCTGGACAGTTAGCATTATGGTGAAGGGCATCTTCGTTAAACTTCGACGCCTACGGTAAACCACTACTCCCAGTGCGCAATACCAGTCATCCTTTTGATACCATTGTGATTTTGTGTCTGGTTACTGCAGATATTGTCTGAGAACCCCTGACAGCCTGGATGGCTAAGCAGGGAGGTCCTCAAGGTGCTTACAAGGGCTCTTGGGTGTAGGAAAATACTATACTAGCTTATTAGAATATTAGATTGCCTTCTATTCCTCCTTGTTGATCTCATGGGGTACTTGAAACGCTCGTGGCTAGTTTCACCAGAGTATTATAAAAGGGTGTTCCAAGCCCGGTAACCGGATCCCATCCTGGCGTTGCGTTCCAGCTTGCATTGGGAACCAGTTGTTCGTTGCTGGTGCCAATGTAGCAACCCGATGAGCCACCATCAACAATATCTGTGAATCCTGTCTGGTTGAGGGAATAGAGCCATGGATTTAAGAATCCTAGTCTTGGCAGACCATCCTCAAGTCGGGCAGCATTTAATCGCGAGACGATGGCTGCAAATACAGGTGCAGATGCACTACAACAACGGTTAGCGCGAAGTTTCTAAGAGCGACACTCATTTCAACAACGGACCTTGTGCCGGCGACTCTCAACGTTTGCCCGTGATCAATGACGACAAAATTAGTGGCCTGAGCGGCGACGTCAGGGAAACCTCTCCCGCTCGGGTTGTATAACCCGTTCCATCTGCTTCCAAGCTGCTCTAGGTAGCCTTGAACGCTTGAATCCTGATACGAGGGACGTGGGAAGCGATCTGAGAAGCCTCCGCTAGAGAAGCTGATTGCTTTCTCGGGCTGGACATCGTAGGTACCGCCAACAGCAGTAACAAATGGACAGGACGCTGGGAAGACAGGCAAGAATCGCGTTCTGTTGGTTCCATCGTTTGTTATGCATGTTGAACCAACGCCTGAGTCACCGCTGCTGAAGATGATCGACACACCGCGTGCGCCAAGCTGTGCGAAGAGATTGCAAGTTGCGTTTGAGTATGATTCAGGGACACTCTGCTCATTTTCGCCATACGAGGTTGAAAGAACGGCGGGAAGTTCCTCATCTGGAAGATCAAGAAGGTAATGAAGTTGATCCAAGTAAGGCTCATTGGTCGACACGTTCGTATCCTGACCATCCTCAGGCACAACCGGTCCTCGGCCCCCCGTTGTATAGTAGGTTCCAAGCGCTTTATACGCCAAAGAGTAGGCATATTGGACGTCCAAGCTGGCTTCGGTACTGCTCAGGGACGAGTCCTGCAGATTGAGGCCGTCCTTTATCGAGACCACGGTGAAGTTGACGTCTGTCCTATTGGGTGCATACAACCTCATGAAACTCTCAAAGTCATCATAGCGTGCGTACTGATCTAGGAATCCGGAAACTCCCAATCTGTTGCGGGGGTCGGGTTCGGCTCTGGTATCATAAATCCCGTACAATTCGCGAAGGCAGTTCGGCGTTATGGTTTCGGAGCAATTTGCCGCCAGTTCTTCCAGGCTAGCAACAGTTCCCTGGAAAAGTGGTTGCCGTTCATGCCGGAGGGGTTGTCCAAAGCGGGTCGTTGGTTGGATCATCTGAATATAACGGTGGACGTCATCGGGAACGGAATACGCAAGCGTTCTGACTTGCGTCATACTTGTCTCCGCGTGCTGGAACGCATAGAAGCGCGTTCTTAGCATACGTTCCGCCTGTGAGACCGGGACAGTGAAAGTGACCCAGTTGCCATGACTTTCGATCGAGCCAGCAGGAACATTCTCTGATCTCAGCCAGGAAAGGACTTTTTCTGAAGCCTCCTTGGAAGGACGCAGGAAATCCCTGACATCATCACGCTTCATATGTTGTCCATAGCTCGAGTGACTCGGTGTTGACATGTCAATGACCCTTCGCTCGAATTCAGCGGCTCTTTCCTGGTTCATAGCCAGCCGAAATCTGACCAATTCAGACGCCGGCGCTGCATCGCGCTTTATCCAGCCGTCGGGCACATTTCTGAGCTGCTCAACGACAGTGTACCCGGATTGTGCAGCTGTACCAAATTCAATGCAGAAAATACAGAGGGATAAGATCCCCATCACAAGCCCGAATGGAGCCATGTGAGCTTGCGACACTGGAATCGGGTCTGTAGATGGCAATACAACGATGAGACACACGGCAATAGGCAAACAGCGACCCTTGTTTTATCTGTCACTTATAAGATGGGGGAAAGCCAGTATCCGCGTCTCCTGCGGGTTAGCAGATAAACAATGGCTGCAAGTGACCAATATAAGGGCCGTCCTGGAACCGTGCCAGCCCGGCACATGTACACGCGAGGCGCGAACTCATTTGTACACATAGTACATACTTGTGCTGTACGACTTGGTGAGCTGCCGACGGCCAATCGCTCATTTCAGGGGTCCCAGGGGAAAAAGGCGCATGCCAAAGTCCAGCCATCACGTCACCAATACAGGGATGTGACTACTTGTTGGCCAGTATTCGCAGGAGCAGAATGACTGCAGAAGCGCGATTGTCAGTCTGCGCCTTTCCTGGAGAAGACCCTGCGTTAGTCTGTGACTTAGTTGGATGCGATGACTGATTCTTTGTCCAGGTTACCAGAGACATGAGGAGTAGAATTCTTGAAGGTCGTAGCCTGGAAATGAGCAACGCCATCGTCGGAGCTCGGTTGCTTGACCGCTTGAAACTTGACGCCGTTAAGATCAAGGCATCCATGCCGGGTAGCGGCATAAGCTTCTCATTCTCATCCCTATGGAGCTTTCTATGGGATGACCAAATTGGGCAATTGGGAAGCAAGGGATGACCAGATTCTAGCCAGTCATAGTCCATTAAAAGGATGACCGAGTCACTGAGCCGCGGTTTAAGTGGATTATGCTTTTCTTGTTCCATGACCAAGTGGACCTGTTTATCCCGCTAGGCTCAATTTGGCAGATGATCGCCCACCTATCAAAAGGCACCACCAGCAACAATGTAGGTACCTGATTTAAGTTATCTGAGAAACCAGCCTTCTGGACATTTATTATCTTCTTGGAGAAATGGAGGAGTGACAGGAAGTTGGTATGTCGTTATTGGGTCGTCAGCAAAGGACACAAAAGATCTTCCTCATTACCTTACACCTGTCAACAAGGTTTATGTAGACGCACGAGGCTGAATATAGGCCATAGCAATAGTCTTTGAAAAAGCAGCTTCATATCTCCCCTACGTATACCAGGTGAATAAACCGTACCGCAGTCAATGACTCTGATGCTTAACATATGTCATGGCGACATGATGCGCGTTCATTCAATCGCAGCAGGAATCACTTGATTGGTCAGAAACTACGGACAATTCAGGTTGAATCAAGGCCGAGAGGAATGCAAATCTTTGTCTCAAGAATGTAAGCATATTTTCCGTCTGGATGATCCAACCAAGCGCTTAACCTTAATGTAGAACAGTGAACTATGGTACAGCGCACCTTCGGCTGTATTCAATGAGTGTAACACGGAGAGAATCAAGTGAAGAGGGTTGGATTTGTTGCCGGACGGGTGTTGTAGACTCTATTGAGTAGGTGTTCCAGTATGGCACAGCTCTTCAAATCATGTTGACGGACGTCTACAGTAATACTCATGATAAGCGGGGCTTCGAAGGATAGGTATGTGTATATATATATTTTCGGCAGGATGAGAATACCTGCAGTAGTGCAATCTGGCTTCCCAAGCGGATTGATTGATATCTGGGTGGTTCTGTAAAACTTCGTGGCGTATTCAGGCGTATTCTTAGACGTCTACAACAACATCAAGCCTTTCTCAACCCCTCATTTGCTGAGCGACTTCGCCTCGTTGGGCTGAGATATGAACCCTACAAGCGTGCTCCATTCTCAGTAAAGTTCAATTCGGATCAGGAATTCCTTTAGCTGTCAATACTGCAACGTCTAGTTTCTTATCTGCATCTCTGTAGACGGTGGATTACTTCTTCCTTCCCTGCCATTTGTGCCACGTCAAACTGAGCGACCTGGAGATTAACCACACATTCGGAGAGGGCGCCGAGGATCATCCGGTAATTGAAGCGAATACTTCTGGTTGGTTGTGATTCGCGATGCAGAAGATTCCCCAAGCGCAAACAGCAGGGATTCTGACTGGCCAGGCAATATCGGCAGTGTAAGACACCAACGCAGCCTCGCATCGGCGGGAAACAAAACGCTTCAGCAAACGCCCCTCCAGACCTTGCACAGGATGACATTGGCCTCTGTTTGCTCTCATCGTCTGTCGAGATGCTAGCAACGGGCATTTTCTCCATCTCCATCTACTCGATAAATTTCCTGGGAGCTCTCCATCAACAATAGGGTTATTATCCTCATCCCAAGTGAGAAAACTGTTGATGAAAGCGCTTTAAATGCGATAAGTCCATCTAGTATTCAAGTCCCGCAGGACTGTTAACCCCGCCTTCTCCATGTCACATCCGCTCGTGGCAGCTGTGTGGGAACAACTCGGTCGTCGTGATGTAGGCAACATTCTACGGGAGATCATCGGCGAACATGCGGCAGAGCTGGCTGTATTCCACATGCAAGATGATGCCTCTCGAATCGAACCGCTTATACGACCTGTGCTTTGGATCAAGGCCATATTCGACTTACAGCGAGCTTATCTGCAAGGCTTGACCAATGTGCACGACTGTCATCCATACTTTTTGCCCTACCTCTTGCCTTCGGAAGCGATTTTCTCGACCCTGATGTACTTGATCCGGGTCAAATCAGACTTATTTCCGTCTAATACCCCGGCGCCTCCCGACCTTGCTCGGCATCGTCATTTCTTTGCGCAAGTTCTACTTGGCGGGATCCGACTGCTCCTGTTGCGTGGTGACGCAATTCCACCCGATCTGAGATTCAACCTGGAGCGGGCGATGAGGGCAGCATGGCACCATCCCGATTTATCCAGTGCAGAAAGCTATCTGGTCATGGACTTACTACCACGAGCGATAGATCAGATTGGTTCTCCAGAGCTGGCGAAGAAGCAGAGTGCTCTGCTGACCTCCAATAATACATCTCTTCCATCTTTCGCGTCAGGACTCGTTAGTGTCAGCCATTCTCATTGTTGGTGATCCTAGGCTAATTTGACGACAGTATCCCTTTTCAATAGCCCCGGAAACTCTTATGACAGATCTGTTGACGGGTATTGTCGCAAACAAGACGGATTATCTAACCTCGTTTTGTACTCTGTTCGATATCATAAGCGCCGCCGAGTTTGCGCTTATCCAGTGTCATGTTGATCGTCGCCGTATTTCACAAGAACAAGGATATTCCAATGCCGCGGCCAGCAAGGTGGAAGAGGCCTTTGCGCAAGCTCAAGAGACGCGAAAAAAACTGGTGAGGACTGTAATGGCGGCATTCGACGATGAATTTTCTGCGCCACCTCTCCAGGTTCTCGCAACTCTCATATTGAGCCATAACGCTGAGGGACAACCGCCGCTACAAACCCGCCGCATCAGGGACAGCTGGACGCGCTTTTTACGCATTAGAGGCGTTCTGGAAGACTCTCTGGGGCTTCTTGTGAGATGGCTCATCAATCGTCGAGTTCAGATGTGGGACTGCAATGGGGAGCTCGAGTCGATTTCCCAGGATTACCAGCGTCATTTGACACAGTGGCTTCAGAATGCTTCGTTGCCGGATCCTGCGGCTCAGCCTCAGAGCCGGGACAAGCGGGCCAGCATTCTGTACGCTGTTGACTGTCCCGCGGTTCACATGGTTCCCAAAGCCCTCCTCGAAGAGCAGTTGACCAGCCGCGACACACTCTATGAGGTATGATATTTCACGTTTCTCAGACGCATTCACACCAGGCTATGCGAATGTGGACTCGCTAAATGAGTGTACTATTTCCTTCCCAATTAACCTTTTGACCAGCATTTGCAGGAGACCCCAGAGTTTCTCACTCTGAATATTTCCTGTCCGTTATGCCCTGGAGATATCCGAATTCAGCACGCTCGCATGATCAATCCGCTAGGCCAAACTGGATTGCAAGATGTATCCGAGTCAAACCGCAGTAGACGGTATTCTATAGCAGATTCTGCTTCCAGAGATACGACATCGCAGTCAAGCTCGGCCAGCCACACTACCAGCTTAGACCCTAGTGAATTTCCCAGAAGTCCTGTTTCGCCCATAACACGCACCCTCGGCTTCTCTGATCTTATGACAAAGCATTCGAATACGTCTGTCACGGAGCTGATTAGTCCGCTTTCATCGCATGCCTCTTCTGATCAATTGCGCGAAAGACAGGGCACCAGGAGTCTTTCTAGGGAGCTCAAAAGCGTGAAGATACCTTTTTCAAGCGGGGCGTTACTATTCAGGAAAGCCTCCGCCAAGCAGAAGTTACCGCGGCAGCCACGGTCCTGCTTTTCCGCGACAGGCCGGACTCTGCTCCTATGGGGAGCGGGTACCAGCTGGGTCATGCGGTTTGAGGTTTCAACCATGGAAGGGCAGAGGAGCAAGGGTCACAGATACGACGTGTCTGGGGTTCAATATGCTGCAGTGGGAGACAGACGTTGCGCTGTGATCGCCGCTGTTGGAGAGGTATTTACGTCTCATTTCTGCCTGTTGATTATGTGTACTCTTTTCCGGTTTGCTAACATGTTTCTAGCACCTCGAGCTGCTAATATTCAACAGCACTGGTACCATCGCTGACGCGTACCTGACGATTGAGTCTGGACTTCAGAATCAGTCCATACCCTCTATATGTATGACCATGTCACGTAACGACAGGTTTGTCGCCTTCACTATCAGGGAAGAGGTCCGAGTGTATGAGATCGGTGCAGGAGCTATACGGAGAGTTCCCTTGGGCGAGCACTTTGATCGATATCCGTTGCTTGGAGCAGAGCCGCCATCCGGAGGGGCAACTCCTTCAAGGGATGAGCAATACGCCAATAACGAAACCAGACCAAAGGCAGTTATTGAGCGAAAGATTCAATTCTCCGTCGATGGAAAGCACTTTGTTGTAGCAACGCACCTGGGTGACCATTGCGCTTATGTTGATGTCTGGGGCTGGAATGCTGGACAATGGATAATCACGCCTGACAAGTCAAGATCGTTCAAACTTCCATCAGTAAGTGATATTACTTGAGCGAAGTCGCTGGTTTGGTGCTAATTTCTGAAGTGGGTGGCAAATGATGGAGACCTCACGTGTGTTTTCTACGACAGCTTCCATTTTGCAGTCATAATGACAGCATTCTTGGGAAGAGAGTCTCCGATGCTAGTCTCTCTTGCTGACCCGAACATCGTCAGCGATCCGCTCAGCATCAGGATCGTCCATGCAGCACAATCGCCTTCAGGAACACGGTTCGTCATGGCAAATGGTGCCGGTGAGATCTATATGTGCGAGTGCAAGGCTAATACTGTCCTCACACCATATGAACTAAAGAAAGCGTCGACCAAGATAAGCCTCGCTGCTTTCAAACCTGGGAATTTGACACTGTCCTTCCCACAGGAAAATGAAATGCTTGTCTTCTGGGTCAAGGACGGTAAATTAACACTCAGAGCAATCAGGTACATTGAGGGTGCCGAGGTAATTAATGATTTTGACCTGCGCCCGGACTTTGACCGTCTAGTTGTGGAACGGGTCCCAGCTGGGAATTTTCCAGCACAGCGAAGACAGAACTCATCGCTTTCAAATCAGTCAGCAGTGGAGATGGATGCAATGGCGCCTATTCGAAGACCTGACATGGCGGAACTGCCAGGGATATAACAGTATGTAAGTTGGGCGGCGCAGTCAAGGCAATGTGGTAGTAGTTTGGAATTAGCCCATAGCTTTATAGGAACATACATTGATGCGAGCCAAAATGTCGTAGAAGTTGACCCCCCACAGCATCAGAATCAATGCTCTTGCAACTAGTTATTGATAGAGCTATCAAAGAACTCTGCTGTATGGAGATGTTGACAGTCGCTCAAAGAGGAAAGTCAGGTGGTGACACACGGAACAACAGACCTAGACTATACCACAAATGGCTATGAGGGGAGTACCTTTCCCGGAGTGCGAAATCCTCCGAATTCCGGAGATTGCTGAGTGCTGATCGACGTCACCACTGAGCATATGATGAGCTACTGTAACTGTGGAGGGTTGCTTATGGACGACGGAGCACTCAACACTTAAGGTCGGAGAGTCCAGAGCTGAAATATTAGCTTGGAATTATAGGTAAGTAAACATATTAAAGAGATTATCTGCGAGTCTGGCCATCGAGTCATCAGCAAAGCATCAGACAATACCTCTCTAGATCAGAGCATGCGACACTCAATTGCCCCTCCCACTTCATTGGTGTAAGTGGGCCTTTGGACTAATTGTTCCTAAGGCATATAGGTGGATGGTACCTTATTGCAATCTCATGTCCCGTCCATTGCTTTCTTAACGGCTGCCAAATCCCACCTGGAGCATTTATTAAGTTGCCGAGTCGTGTGCACGTAAACCGACTTTACGTTGGCATCTCGGTGTCGACGTCATCACTACATCCCCAGCACTCGCACACGATCTTTAGATTTCCGAAAAGCCGACGACACATGATATCTTCGCCACATCACTCTTGCTCTCAATTGTCTTCATCACTCTATCAACAATGTCGCAGCCTGCCTTCGCGTTCGATCCATCACGGCGGCCATCGCAGGCCGAGAACCAGACCGTACTGAAATCCGAGATCCCGTTGAAGGAACGATTCTTCCGTTACTTCCAACATGAGATTACCGGTATGTCTTCGTGGTATTGTCGTTTTGTGTCTGTTAGCAGAGTAATCTGACATCGAGGTACCGCCCCGTAGCTCTTCAAGAAGAGATGGACCGTCTGGCAGACACGTCCCTCATAGGAGGAGAACGGACGGATGCAACCGACCATTGCCTGGCTGGAATTGCAAGGTTGTCTAATGAGGTTAAGGATGCAGCAAGCTATATCCCGACCTATGATCAACGTGTGTATGCAGAGGTAGGTCAATGACCGTCATAGCCTTGGTGTGTACCTGGTTGATGGTGTTGTCTTGTCAGGCCATCAAAGCGCTCCAGGACAAGCTTGCCGAGACACGCTCTGCGTTTGAGCCTCGCCCCAAATTTACCTTCAAGACAAAGAAGAATGCATCGGCTGTCTCGCTATCAGATGCGGCCGAACTAGTTGCCCAAGGCCACGGGGGTCTACCCGGCTACCGCTCCCCAGGAGCATCTTCGGTGGATTCCTCCGCTGTGCAGACGCCGAATTACCCATCCACACCTTTGTACGAACCAGACTTCCTTCAGTCACATCGGCCAGAAATCGCACCGACGTCGGTTCCGGCCTTTTCTGCTGGTATCAGTGAACCTGAATCGAAATCCAAAGGAGACTCCCATAGGGGTAAGGCCTTCGCGGCCACAGCTGTGTCCTCTGTCTCCGTAAACGATCATTATGGTCTCCATATTATGCTTCCTGTATCAGGCTCGACAGCGGCCGTACCTGCATCTATCACATCTTTGAATCATTGCGTCGTTGATATGTCCATACCGACTGCAAACGGCAAGCCTTATGCAAGTCTCACTGTCAAAGATGTCAACGAGAGCTTATTGATCTGTGGCCAAATCGACGGGCCGGCACATATAACCGGAGTTAAAAATAGTGTGATTGTGGTGTCGTGTCGGCAATTCCGCATGCACAACTGTACTGGCGTGGACGTGTACCTGAGCAGCTCCAGCAATCCAATCATTGAAGATTGCACCGATGTCCGGTTTGGCAGAATCCCCAGAGCATATGTAAGTGATCTCTTTCTGCTACAGACCATTTCAATACATATACTCATGTTCACAGGCTCTGGACCACGATCGTCCGGACAATGAAGACCGCTGGAGCCAAGTTGAGGACTTCAAATGGATCAGGCCGGAGCCAAGCCCGAACTGGAGCTTGCTAAGCCCTGAGGAGGCGATTCCAGAAGAAGTGTGGGCTGAGATCGTGCCCGGTGGCCCTGGATGGTCACTCGAAGACATACTACGCGCGATCAAGATTGTGAAAGATTAAATCTGTTCTGCTCTAATATGCACGGTTAACCATGCGATGCAAAGCATTTTTCGAGGGAGCAATCGCCCATTGTTCAGTGTTCCTCAGCCCAATTCTACTTCAAAACCGTGCCCTGGGTTCTTCGTGGTTATCAATGACTATGGTGCTTCAAGTTCTTGACATACTTCGCAATGGAGAATAGGCGTTATTTACTTTGAGTAGTATATGTCAGTCGCAGTTGCAGTCAATTTTGATAATCATTCTATGCAACGCTCGTTCAATCTGCTTGTTTCGAGAAAGTAGCAACATCCTCAGGCATGACATGACCTACAGCGTGCTGATTGTGCCTCTCCACTACAAGGATTGAATGTATCTTACGACTTTGCTTGACTGGATATAAATGTATGGTTCGGCTTAGGGTTAATAAACGGCTATTCCTGCATAGCTATTATTCCCTACTAATCGATGACTGGTAGAAAATAGCATATTTGGGCCTGATTTTCAAGGCATTCAAGATACGTCGACCATAAGATGTAAATGCTGCCCGCTGTCAGCCAATCAGCGCCAGGAGTGGAAGTGGAAATCTGATATTAGTGGAGTCTCGCTCCGCAATCAAGTTGGCTACTTAGCTACTATCAACAACTGGTCGAAGCTCTCCGTGTATCTCACGACCTCAGTTATGTCACGGTCATCCTCTAAGGGTTCTAATTAACCCGTATTCTGCCCATTTCTACCTGGAATTCTATGGATTGTGACTTGAAGATCAATGTCGACTTCTATATGTTGGGATATGAGAAGGACACTCTCCATCCGCGACATTCTCATCCTAGGTCGGCTTAATCCAAAATGCCCGCCAACGAACAAAGAAGTCCGGAGAGTCATGACGAATTCAGCCATTCAAGCTCGACCACCAAACCAAGCAACTCTGCAGCTTCAGAAGACGTGTATGTCGAGGATATCTCTTCTCGCGATTCTGGATATGACGGCGATATTGAGGTGGTGAAACCGTACGCTATTGAGGAACCTGAGGATGAAGCTCCTAGGCGCATCCCTAGACTAGCCATTTCGCCCGCTCCAAATGATGCCGAATCGTGGCAAGGGGAATTAGTGGATTCAATGCAAGATCTGCACTGCGACTCAGACCATCCTGACTTGCGGTGCCGTCCGAGCCACAAGAGAGGAAGGAAGAGGAAAACACCCACCTTCGGCGCAGGAAATTCCGCGCCTGGTCGACGACAAGTCTATGAGGCGGCTCCCGATATCCAGTACGAAGGACCTAGTGCGAGCCCAAAGAGATTACGACGACGAGGCATGCGCCCCAAAGAAGGCCAAAGGACTCATCTCTCACCGCGCAGCTCGACTGAAACCGATTCCCCTGCAAGCCTTAGTCTGAGTCCCCCATCCACGAATGCAAGCGGGGCAAGCCCGAGCAATAAACCTAACGTTAGTGATGAAATGGATATAGATTGATTTACACATAAAATGCATACTATTCTAGAGGACCTTGAATCGGTGTGATGCCATTCAGTCGTATCATTATCACGTGATGATAGACCGTTCTAATCGCACCCTAACTAATCCGGAAGAGGCTGAGGATCATTCTATGACGTCAGGCAGTTCTCATTGCGGTCACTCACTCCGACTGGGGCGACTGATGTCGTAGTCGCTTCTCACCTTTACTCTGCTTGTCGTACGCTTTAATCGCTCGCAAACCTGTCGCATTAATCGTAACATCTCGGATCCGCGCAATTGGCCCAATTCTCCACCGTGAGCGAACACAATTCTCCCACAATGGCCACTAGAACATCGTCGCGCCAGGCCGCTCAGAAAGCAAAGGAGGCCATCACAAGCACCAGCGATATCAAGCCAAAGAAGACTGCCGGTGCAAAGCGCAAGGAACCCACTGAAAAGGGGCCGGAACCAAAGAGGGGAAAGAAAGTCGATCGCGAGCTAGCTCATGAGAAAGAAGAGAAGGAGCAGGAGCAGCAGAAGCAGAAGTACGAAGAGGAGGACCGGCCAGAACAGAAAGAGCAGGTGAAGGAAGAAGCGGTGCCTGGACCTGGTGAAAAGGACGAAAAAGAGGAACAGGAAAAAGCCACAAGACGTATGACCATATTGATGGAATTTCTTATGCCGCATCACACTAACAGCGACCAGGGCTCAGTGAACAGCCTGAAGAGCGAGCAGAGAAGCCAGAACAAGAGCCCAAAGAGGGTGCAAAGGAAGGGGCTGTCCCAGAACCTCGTGATGAAGAGAAAGCCGCCAAAGGTAATGAAATATGTGGAGATATTTGGTCAACGCTAACAGTAACTACATTCAGAACCAGAAGAAAAGCCTGCTGAAGCGCCGGCAAAGGAAAGGGTTGAGGCCGGAGTCAAGAAGTCGGAAGAACGAGAAAAGATTGTACCTTCCAACATTCTCGAAAAGGGAATCATATACTTCTTCTTCCGGCCTCGAGTCAATGTTGAGGATCCACACAGTGTGAAGGATGTTGCCCGAAGTTTCTTTGTTCTACGTCCGACTCCCCTGGGTGCAGTGCTGGACGCCAACCAAGGCACGGTTGCAGCCGATGCACGCTGTCGCTTGATGATTCTGCCAAAGAAGAAGTTTCCTACTTCGGGTAAAGAGAGAGACATGGGATTCGTGGAGAAGGCCGGAATATCAATGAAAGATCTCCACGACAGCTTTATGGTCGGTGAGAAATATGAGACGTCGACTCGAGGAGAACGGGCTGTTCAAGAAGCGCGACCATATGCGGAAGGAGTCTACGCCATAATCTCTGGAAAGCGTGCCTCTCACCTAGCCTACATTCTGACTATTCCGCAAGAAATGGGCTCAATTCAAGACGACTTTGGCCTTCATAGCCAAGGCAGTTTCATTGTCCAGTCGAAGAACCCCAAATATCCTGGCCCGTCCTTCGCACAGCTTCCCAAAGACCCTGAGTATCCTGAAAGGTGAGTGGATGATCGTGCTATGATGGTATATGAACTAAATGCTTTATTGCAGCGTCCGCCAAAAGTTCGGAGACTATAGATGGGTTCCGTTGGAACCTGAGTTCATCGACTACCCCAATGCGCAGTTCCTCATGATCGGGGAGGCGACCGACGAGCTTGGAAAGGCAGCCACAGCAGAGCCTGATAAGAAGGCGGCACACGAAGAGCAGCCAGGCGAAGAGTTGGAAAAGTTGGAGCAAGAAAACGAGGAGAGAATCGAATCTCTAAAAGGTCAGTCCCGCAATGCTCTGCTTCGCTAAGTTGCTAACCCGCACACAGGCGATGAAACTGTTTATGAAGACCTAGGACTGGATGTGAAGAACTATCCCAAGGTGCCAACTACCTGGAGCGCGTAGAACCCTGCAACTGGTGTACAATAGGTGCTTCGAGATGAAGCTTCAGATTATGATTCGGACATAACAAACAAGAAACATTCAATGTAGTAATGCTGAATTTGATGGCATTTGTGCCCTTTATCACAGCAATCAAATGGCCCCGAGATTGTTAAGGGAGTATCCTCTTGCTAATGCCGGGTGGGGGTCGGGTTTCCTGCAGCCAAGATGATCGGGCTTTATACTCCGTATCAGATAGCGAATGGGATTGACGATCTTCACCACGTTCAACGCAAGCTGCCAGGATCTCGATCTTCTCGCAATCATTTCCCTGCTAACACCATGAGGAACGGCTGTCTAGATAGATACCGCTAAGCGATACCGTGAGGATTATTATCGTTCATTCGACAACGATACATAATGCAAGGCACCTTCCGCAGCGTTTACTCTGATTGGGACGCTCCACCGTGCCAAGGTCAACCATGAGGCGTATAAAATCGCCTGCGTTCTCCTCCACAGTCGAGTATGTCCAGAGATAATCTTAAGTTACAGACAGCATCATGAGATTGAATCCATTGGTGAGTGTGCTGCCATTGACAGCCGCCACCACAGCTGGCTCTCTTACTCGGCACAACTCGTCCAATGCCGTGAATCAGACAACCTGTGGCGGCACAAGCTACGAGTATACCGGGCTTGCAGGATACGGTTTCATTCCGTCCAATGCGGTTGACAAGTACGGTGACACGTTAGGAGGCATTGGCAGCGCTATCGCTATCGATCAAGACTCCTGGCGCAGGACGGGCCGTGACTCGTACTCTGGCATCATCTACTGCTTGCCTGATCGTGGCTGGTAAGTTACGCTTTTACCATGGCCATTGAGCTTTGAATTAGAATCTGATCTGCTTCGGTTACAGGAACACAAAGGGGACGCTCAATTCCCAGTCGCGTATCCACAAGTTGGCCATCTCTTTCAAGCTGGTTCCAGGTGCATCTGCCGAGAATCCCTCGAAGCCGAATTTGCAGCTGAAGTACCTCGACACCATTCTCCTGACCGGTCCTGATGGCGAGCCCACCACGGGGCTCGATGCAGACGCCACGGGCTATGCCTCGTACCGCGGCTTCCCCCCTCTCCCCGCAGCCACATACATCGGTGATGGCTTCGGCGGCGCAGGCAAGGGAGGAAAGAGGATCACGATCGACGCCGAGGGTCTCGTCCTTGACAAGGACGGCTATTTCTGGATCTCTGATGAGTACGGTCCCTACGTCTATAAATTCAACAAGCACGGCAAGATGGTGCTAGCACTGCAACCGCCGCAGGCCTATCTCCCTCGTCGCAACGGCACCATCAGCTTCAGCGCCGCCAGTCCGCCCCTCTATGCTCCCAACCAAATGCCTGTCCCTGAGGATCCCAAGACAGGCCGCAATAATAACCAGGGCTTCGAAGCTCTTACAATCTCCCCAGACGGCAAGACGCTGTACACCATGATCCAGTCGGCGCTGAACCAGGAAGGCGGCCCAAAGAAGAAGAACCGCCAACCGGCGCGGCTGCTGGAGTATGACATCTCCTCGGGCACACCGAAATATAAGCACGAGTATGCCGTACTCCTACCCAAGTACAATGATTACACGGAAAAGGATCCATCGGACGCGGCAAAGGTGGCCTCACAGTCGGAGATCCACCAGCTTCCCACCGGAGACTTCCTTGTTCTCTCGCGCGATTCCGGCTTCGGACACGGGCAGTCCGAGTCCCTCTCCGTCTACCGGCATGCGGACGTCGTCTCCATTTCAGAGTCTACCACTGATTTGAAGGGTACATGTGACGCCGCGGACGGATCCATCGCCAGCTCAAAAGGTGTCTTGGACTCAGCCATCACCCCGGCGGAGTACTGCCCTTTCCTGGACTTCAACGTGAATTCGGAACTAGCCAAATTCGGCCTTCACAACGGTGGCGCGCAGGACGCTGGTCTTTTGAATGAGAAGTGGGAGAGTCTGGCTCTTGTGCCGGTTGACCCGCACGGGCACAAGGATAAGCATTCCAAGAAGGCGAGGGAATATTTCCTCTTCAGCTTCAGTGATAATGATTTTATCACACAGGATGGTAGGTGGTTTATATGTTCCTCCTGGAGCACAAATATGCTGACTGCCGCTTGTACAGGACGCATGAATTTTGGCCGGTTCAAGTACGCCGATGAATCTGGCTACAACCTCGATAGTCAGGCTCTGGTTTTCAGAGTGCGGTTTTAGTTGTATATCTGCTGCCTATAGAAATAGTAATTAGTATCTTATCCAGCCTGGTAATTATTGACACAAGGCACCGCGCTTAACCGAAACATGAACATCAAGGTGCATGTTTCTACGATTGAGGCAGTCAAAGCTGTTGACACTGCAGGTTGAAGAAATAGGTAGCTGGTAACGCATGATGAGCTGGTAACGCATAATGAACATCCATATCTGCTTGCTTCATGAGAAGGCGCTCCGTATATCGATAGAAAAGATATTCAAGGCAAACGCTCAATCCTCAAAAGGAATAGAAACTGGGATATACCTTCACCACTGAGATTTCCTTCCACTCATGGTCTTATCAAGTCCGTCATATTTGGCGTCCATAAGTGTACATATATCCTTTCTGATTAGCCTCACGTATAGATTTCTTCGCCCAATTCAGTGCATATGACCAGCACAGTACACGATTCCTACATTTCATAAATAGGGGCTTGCCGAAATTTTATAGCTAGACGCCATTATCATTACTTCACTCAGACCCGTCAATCAGTCTCTTCCCCTTCGCTTTCCAAGAAGGCCAGAGTCTGTCGACCCCGGTTGAGTCTCCGTCGAGGTCGAGAGCTGTCACTTTCCTCCTCCACGCTCCGCCGGCCCCAGTGCTTTTCACCCTCTTTGATCATGGCAAGGTCGGCTTCAAACTCTCGTTTCTCTTTAATCTGTTTGGCCTTTTCTAGTGAGTAGCGCCCGTCCATTCCCGCATCCTTCAACATGTCCTTGAGATGCTTGATCTTCGCTTTTGGTGTATCATACGGAGCCAGCTCTCGAGACCACACCTTGCGAATACCACATTTGACCAGCCATCCTTGCAACCGCTTGACTTCGGCATCGTTAGGATCAAGACTAGCGTCCTTTGATTTGGCAGGCGCCTTCTTTTTCCCTTTCGCCGACGTGCTCTCTGAGCTTCTCCCTCGTTTGCGGCTGGGTTTGGGCTCTTCATCGAGGACAACTGACATTTCACTCTCCGAATCGACCTTCCCAGTATCGGCGGCTTGCTCAGCTGCATCAGCCGAGTCGGCCCTTTCTGATTCAGTTTCTGACCGTCTTCCGGGAACGTTCTTAACCTCGTCCTCGCTGTCGCTGGACGCGCCGGTTTCCTCGTCGTCCGAGACTTTGGGTTCTGGGGTTTCTGTCTTTCTGCGTTTCCTTGACGTAGGGGTACTTGTAGGTTTTGCGCGTTTGGGGGGTTTCGAGGTCTTCTGCGGAGACAAGGTAATATCTTCTTCATCTTCTTCGGCTTCTTCTTGCTCCTGTGCTGGTTCTTGTGCGAGCCTGTCTTGCACCTCCTATCGAGTATAAGTCGCTTGCCTGAGCATTGGTCCTCTAAAACAGTCAGGCAGGATACCAATGACATACCACTTCGTCCTTGATAACCTGATCACTTTTCGATTTCCACGCGCTATCCCCCTTGAAGAACCCTTCCTCTAATCCAAGTGCCCTCTCTGCCGCCAATCGCACTCTCTTGACAGTCAATTCTTCCATTTTCCCAGACTGGTAGATCTTCGCGACCGAGTCGCGTAAGGCTTTTTCGAGAGCATCATCGGAGGGTCTTGCAGGTGCCGCTAATTGACTCGAGTCGGAATCGTCGTCCGAGTCCGACACGGCATACCGAGGTGCCATTCTGTTTGCCTTCCCGAGTTCCTTTATTTTTGTCTTGAATGAGTTCGTCACAACTTCACCGGGACAGATGATAGCGGATAGCCAGCGGCGGTGCGACGCGATTCCAACGCGACGATGAAATGAATCGGGAGCGCGAACCAGTACGGACGTATAAGGATGACTGCTAGGAGGCCAGACGAATTGAATGGTGTTGAAGCTTTAAGCGCACCTGAAGATCAATAACCATCTATGCACAGCACTAATCAAGCACTAGTGTATACGTCAGAGTATCCCTGCCGGATGTTATCGTCGCGCCGAGCTCTATGTAGATTAGACTATCGGCGCAACTGTGCTGACAAAGCCGATATAGAAATATCCCCGAGCTTCCATCCAGCATTGCAGCTGCTTTCTATCATTACTTTTTGCCTTTGCTTTAACGCTAATCTGCAGATATCCCGCATCTTTCCTTAGCGCTTTACTTGTTGTCCATATCTTCGTTAGCAGGGTGCTCCGGAGCGTACCACTCGTTCGAGGTATCAATTTGCTCCTCCGCCAATCTCCGCATTCTCCAGTGCACCACCGAGACCATACCCATACATCTCACTTGAAGCGACTTAGACGCAGTATACTCCTATCGCCATGTCGGATCCTCGCCCGCAGGAATCAGAATCTCAACCGAAACTCCCCAAGACGCTCTTCCCCCACCAAATCCCCGCCGCCGCAAGTTCCTCCACAGCCCCCAAAGACGACGATGTGCCCGCAGGCATGACCAAACTGCCCAACGGGGTGATCCTAGACAAGGACGGGAAACCGTACGTTGGCTCTACGCCCTCCAACCCGCGCCAAGAAATCTAACAACAAAACAGCTGCCGCCTCTGTACCTCCGCCGCATCCTGGCGCGCATTGACAAAGCAAGCCAAAAGCCAGACTGCAGCTGGGACCGCCCCAGCAGCGACACCCTCCAACGCATCCGCATCTGCTCCTACCCCTTCACCAATGCAAACGCAATGCCCCCCAGACGTCGAGGAACTGGGCCGCTCAACCTGGACGTTCCTGCACTCCCTGACTGCCGCATACCCCGCCAAGGCCTCGCCAGAGCAGCAGAGTGAGATGCGCTCGTTCCTGGGCCTTTTCTCGCGACTGTATCCCTGCTGGGTGTGTGCGGAGGACTTCCGGACGTGGATGGCGGAGCCAAGCGGCCGGAATGCGCCGCGGTTATCTGGACGGGCGGACTTCGGGACCTGGATGTGCGAGGCGCATAATGAGGTGAATCGGAAGCTGGGGAAGAAGGAGTTTGACTGTCGGCTCTGGGAGGAGAGGTGGAGGACTGGCTGGAAGGACGGGAGATGCGATTGATCGGCTCCTTACGGACTGTAATAGATGGATATATGTCTTGGCTGTATATTTGGCATATTGTACTTATAGACGACTCGACTAACAGAAAGATATCTCTACTCAGCGTTCGAGCTAGAGAAGACTAGCTCGTTTGAGCGAAAGGCACACTTTTCTCTATCAACATCATGCAAAGCAGTTAAGTCTGTATCGTCTTGATTCGAAGATACCGCCAAATTGAGATGTAAATAGAAAGATCGCTGAACGAAAGACACAACGGCACCACACATCTAACACAGAAAGACGTCCTCGTTCCCTGACACCCCCGCCACAAACCTCTTCCGGACTATGGAGAATAAAATTTATGGGTGGAATCATCAAAAACAGGGAGATAATACAATTGCGAAAAGTCCATCAATACATTATCTTTACTACTGACCGGGAACGAAGAGACGTAGCCCGCTAGCCGGTGCTCCAATCTCCGTCACTTCAGATATCCGACACACGGTACCCTTGTACTGTTCATGATACTTGGCACCGGTGAAAGGATCCGACACGCTAGGAGAGCCCCCGTAGATAGGAGTGAATGAGGCGGCGCAGATGTCAAATTCGGCGAACTGGTCGAACTCGATATCGATCTTGTCTTGCGGGCTACGCTCGCACTGTACCTTGATTTTCTTGGCCTATAGATTGAATTAGTATTGTATAGAATACAGCGATTTGCAAAAAGCCGAGTGTCTTACCTGATCAAGAAGCTTAGCCGAGCCTCCATTGGCCAACATACGGTTGGCAAAGCTCAGGGCAGATGAGAAGTTCTTGTTGGCAAAAGCTAACTTCATTGCAGCCATCAGTGCAAGCTGACGATGAGCGACCTCCAGCTTGGGAATGGTGAAGTAGGCAGAGAGCTCGAGACTCCTCTTGAGGTTCTCGGGGGTATCCGTTGATAGGGAGCGGCGTTCAAGTTCGATAGACATGGCAAGAATGTATTCCCGAGCGGTTTCGATGATCTTCTTCGCCTGCTCGACCTCGGCTTCGGAAGACACGGTGTTGACAAGAACAGAATGCAAAATTCCCTTGAAAATCTTCACACCATCCTCCAGTTTGTTCGCCCTCATTGCAGCGTAACCCTCCTGGAGGTCGACGTTGGCGATCGTCTCTAGATCCTTGGGAATGATGGGCAGGACTTTGCGGCTGTCAGTCTCCTCAACAGTGCGTCGCACGTAATTAATCAAAGGAGGAAGCCCGGCGGTAGCGGGCAGGTAAGTCCTCGACGCCTTATATATTTCGAGGAAGCGACTCTTGAGAGGAGCGAAGTTGACAGCGCCAACTTGGCGATTGAGAAGCTGCATGGCGGTATCAAAAGAACCAGCAGCGACATGATCAGCCGCCAGAGGAGAGTTGCGAGCCCAAAGGTCGGCCTCTGAGCTGCCTGCGCCGGCCTCTGCGCTGTCAACGTTAACGAAGTCGACATCCTCCTCCACGTTGATCTCTTCACCCATGTCCCAGCCGGCAACATCTTCCTCTTCATCCTCAAGAGTCTCACGGGCCAGAACAGCCTCCTCACCTTCCTCCTCCGGCTCGAGGCCAAGGGCGGCAGCCTCCTCATCTTCCACTCCCACCTCTCCAAGCAACGCCTTCTCGAACGACGAATGAGCTGCAGCCTTAACGGGCCAATTCGACTTGAAAGTAGGGACAATGGGCTGAGGCACCCGCAGAGGCTCCTCGGTTGTGGGAAGCGTGATCTGGTCTTCGGTCAACCCGCAGGCTTCGAGAATGGATTCAGCCTCTTCAGTCAAGCCGTGAGACTTGGCGGTAAGATAGGCAAGAGGGTCTGCTTGAGAGTTAGTTGAGTATAGTCACGTTGATCACAAAATCACTTACACAAATCGACTTCCTTGAACATCTGAATTCTATCTTCAACATCGCCACGGTAGATAGCATTCTGGAACCGAGATGTGAAGTCCCCGCGATGCTCTGCGATCTTGGCCATCCTGGCCAATTTTTCAGAGTCACCGGTGGACAAGTAAAGGAATGAAAGCTTGTCGAAGTTCCTTTGCTTCTGATACGTCATCTCAACGGTTTGATGGTTGCCGTGAGCCAGAGCTTCCATTCCCAGTCTACTCCACAACTTCGGGCGATCCAGCTCCCGCGCCATGTCGATGGCAACTTCCAGGTTACCGCACTCGAGAGCAAGCTCAAACCGAGTCTGAGGATCTTGCACGAACTGCAGGGCAATCTCAGGGTAGCCCTTCTTCTGCAGATACGAAATGATACTTTGCCCGACCAAGCTGGAGGTCTTGATAATCTGCAGCATCTCGTCGTAGTTGCGCTTAACCAGGGCGAGCTTGAAGCGGTACTCGGTAGGGTCGATTTCTAGAACCCTGGGCTTGGCATTACGATCCAGACAGTAAACGCTTCTGCCCTTCACCTTGACGAGGTACACGGTGTGGTCCAAAGTGCGGATTATACCGTTGTCCCTAGGAGTTTGTTAGCATCGGCACCAGGCAGTAAAGGGGAAACCTCTACACATACCCATTTAGAAGGGAGTATTTGACATGGTTCAAGGTCGAGTAAAGAAGGACGCCTGCGTCATCCCACGCCGCGCTCTTGATGCGAATGGTCTCATGCAGGCTGCTCACTTGCTCGAGGGACTTGGTAACGATGGTAACATTATGCTTGCTGAGCAAAGCAGCATAGAGTCCATCATTGGACCAAACGACGTACTTGACACCGCTCACTGCAAGCTCTGCCAGTTGCTTCTTCTGTTGGATGTCAAAGAGAACCACGGAGGTGGGTGTAATGAAGAGTAGAGCTCCGGTTCCACCAAAGTAAATATCGGTTGTTCCAGAAGGTGGCTTAATAGTTTTTGTCGTAGAGTTGCTCAGATCCTTGATGTCCACCTGTTGGTTGGCCTGGCTGAAGACAGCGAAACGATTACGGGCGACGAAGACGGCGGAAGAAGCCTGGCCGCGCTTGACGTCTGTCGGCTCGACCGCGCCAGTGGCATCTCTTGGAAGGTGGATCAGCTCGTACGCACCACCATCAGTGGGAGATGTGACGAGAATGGCGCGCTCAGCAGGGTTGTAAGAAAGAGATCTTGGCGGCACCCAGGGTGATCCGAACTTGCGGAGTGAAAGCATCGGCGGCGACTCAACGTTCTTGGCAAAGTCGTATGATTTAACGTGCTTCTCCTTTGTGATGTAAAACAATTGGTTTTGGTAAACTGCAGACGCGGGTCTTTCTCTCTCCAGCTTGAAAACCATGACACCGGTGTCATGGCCAGCTGCAAAGAGGTTGATTTCGGGGTGGGCAGCAATGACCCAGAACCGATCCACGTCACGTTTGAAAGACTGCACCGAGGTTCTCTTGTTCAAATCCCACACTCGAATCGTCTTGTCTTCGCCGACGGAGAGGATCAAATCCTGGTGGGGGTGGAATAGACAAGCTGAGGCGTTCTGGAAATGACCACGGCATGTATCGACTTCCCAGGCTTTCGTATCTACACTGCAGTGTCAGGAGATCCAGAAATCAATTGAACAAATAACAACAGCATCTTTCCACGTACCACTCATTCTCCAGAGCTTGACCAGGCGATCGTCTCCCGCCGAGACAATCAGAGGTAGAGTTGGGTGGAAAGACACCCAGTTCACACCTCGGTCGTGGCCCTCCAGGACAAATTTCACAACAGC